CTGGGGAAGGGGCCATTATCACCCTAACTGATTCTCTTACTTCCAGGAAGAGCTACTGAGTATTATACCAGGTGTAACTTTTATTGCTCAAAGGATTAGTTTGTTGCTGCAAATACACAATGCTAAAAAAGACTGGGAATATTGAACTGGTCTGCTGTCTCTTGCCTGCTGGAAGCAGAGCTGAGTCTTAAAGAACCTTGGTGCTTTACCAGCCTGTGTGTTTCTGCTTGTTGTCAATGCTTTTTCCCCTGTCAGTGAGCATTATCTGAGTTTTGCTTAGAACATTTACAATTCAGCATCTTTCCCCTTCCCACCTTTGAAGTAGTCACAGAAATACATTTATGGATAATAAACAATTCCAGTTTAAAATGAAGCACTCATCTTCATCACTTTAGCTTGCCTAAGTAATCTTCATGATGAATTTCATTTGCAGTTCACTATCAAATGAAATTAGCTGCAATTAAAGGTTGTCAAATCTGTAATTTAAGCCCTTTAATATTTGCCGCTGTCACTCTTTTCCTGTAATACATTGTTTTTTTGGTCTGATACAAAGACCACGTAAACCAATAGGAGAATTTCTACCAACTTCAATGAGCTTTGAATAAAGCCTCATGTTCCATGGTATGTGAGGACATTTTATCTAAGTACATGTAATTAAAAGATTACCAAAGTTTTCATTATCTGAAAATTGTTTGGATTATGTAAAATGAGTTTTGTTTCGTAATGGTGGCCATAGGTAATTGAGGATGTTTAAGAAAAAAAGGAAAACAACAACAAAAATCCCACCGATACGCTACAATACCTACTTTTAATTAAAATCTCAGCAATGTAATGTACACACCCCAGGGCATGTGGGTTGAGGGAGGTGCTGTGAGCAAGTCATAGTAATAAAACTCTCTTAGGTTCATTGAATTCAATGTGAACCACAAATCACACTATCAGCTTAGCAAACTGTGTCACTGGAAAAAAATGTTGCTAGTACTTGATATGGGATTTTTGCTATAAATTCACATTTTCCTGTGGTAATGTTCCCCTCTCTTCTGAGCCACGATTCTTATCAGGTGACCAGAGTTCACCTAGGAGGGATGAACTCACTGAATCAGTCAAGCTTCTCTACATCAGCAGCTTTATCAGTTCCTGTTGGCTCAGCATAACCTTTATTATTAGTAACACTACTGGGAAAGAAATTAATGCAATCCATCCCATCAGATTAGAGATTCTGCTAACTATTAAGATTGGAGAGAAGTTGAGAAATGTCTCTGGAATAATTTGCAGTATTTGTTTCTTAAAAAACTTGAGCAGAGGCTACCTTCATACACAATTTTTAATAGAATAGAAGATCTGTTCAGTCATGCCAAAAATGACATCTAAAAAGAGTGCAACAGAATGCACTCTTCCCATTTTGAGCAATGTAGCTAATGCTCACTACTGCTCACACATTTCTATCTCCATTTTAATTCTTGCCATAGAATACTGTTCTGTGCTGTAAAAACAGTTCTGAACATGATGTGATTAACCTTACAGTCCCCCCATCCCCTCATCTCAAAGCCCCCTTGTACATGGCCTATGCTTTCTATTCATGTTCAACCATCTGATTTCCATATCATCCCACTCAGCCTCACAAGCGGCGATTAGCATAACAGAGCTTTAGTGTGACATTGATTGAAGCCAGCGCTTGCTGAATGCAGTATCAAAGCATAATTTGCCAGAAATCAAATCTAATTTACTGTGTACTATTTAAATTTCTCAAAAAAAAGAAGGGAAGTTTTGATAGAAGTATACTAGGTCTGTAGTCTTAATTGTTTTTTCCATATTTTTGTCTAGTCCCCTTGAATCCAAGCAATTTATTTCCTTTTAGAGGCATTGTCTTTGACTTTCAAATGTCAATTAAGCAAGAGTTTTTCCACTCTGTTTATTCCAATCCACTTAATGTTACATCTGAAATAGTAAAGGGTAATAGTTTGATAGGCACAACACTCAGTTTGCTGCTTCATAACAGTTTTTTCAACAGATTCTTTTAATGACCTTAATGTTTAGCTTGAATTAAGCATTAAAGTACCACATAACTCTAACAGCTGAAGCATATCAAGCCTGCTGTTATTCCTTTCACTGTACCTTTTCAGAATATTTTAAAAATTCACCTACTTCAAGAGAATCAATAATGGCTTGTATTAGGTTTTGTCCGACATTCCTCTGAAGCTGGGCTTTCAGGAAGTCATGATCTCAGTTAACCTTTCTGCAGAATGAGTGTAATAGAATTTATATATCTTTATAAACAGCATTTATATATGAACATAATGAGCTGTACTTTTAGGAAAATTGAAGAACCCACATGCTTATTCTGTCAAAGAGGCCTTGCAGGCTCTGAGAAGGGTCACGTTACATTCTCTGGGGATAATGGCAGTCTTACTGCTTTGGTAGTTACACTTGACCAAAAATTACTCCTACAATTGCTAACAGTTGCTTTCAGTTGTGAATCTGCATTATTTAACTGGAAATTTATAGATAAAATTGATATGGTGAAAAAATTGTTTAAAACCTGTAAATGAGGTCATTTTTATCAGAGGGTGTCTATAAAGAGAGCTATAGCTGAATATGACAAGAAACTGGAACAAAATGGAGGTTTCCTTCATTATAGAACCCAATCTTTAAGTAAATTTAAAGCAACACATTTTTTATTTTTCCCAAGTGATGTTTTCATGTTCTTTAAAATTATGATATTAAATAGTTTGGCTGAAGGAATTGGTTTTGTGCTCTAATTAATAAAGGGACCAACAAAAGTCAGCTCCTTGTTAGATCAAGAGATTATATTTAAATCAAAGTCCTGATTTGTTTATTTATTTTTATAGTGGATTTCTAGTAATTATGGCTGCAAAGAAAAGCTACAAAAGATATCCTTTCATAACCATACATCATTGTTTACTGGAGTCTTTAGAAAGTCTAAACTAGTGGCTGTGAGGCCACGGATCTTCACTAGTGTGGCACATGCTGGAGAGGACAGGGAGAGAAACAGGGTCCATACAAACAGGTATGTCACGTAAAACAAGGTGAGGGAAAAACAAGTAACTTGCTGCAGTCCAGCACTTTAGGAACAGTAGAGAGTGAGTTCGGATCCTAGAGTAGGTGTAGCAACACCTACTCTCCTATAGAAACCTCAAAATATATGGCTATAAACGGGCAGCAGCAGGGCACGTAGCCCTTTGTCCCTGCCCTTTCAGAAGACTGACACCTGCTGAGGCCTGGGGAAGAGGTGGACAATTCTCTCTCCAGAGAGGCCAAAAACTGTGTTTAGTGTGAGGCCTGGGGAAGACTCGTCGTGTTGTCCTCCCCCTCTGCCTTCTAAATTGATGGTGATTCATGTTTATTAAGTGCTCTGCAGTTCTTGTTTTAAGAATACATTAAGACGGTGCTGTTCAACTGGTGCTCTTCAGACTCCTGCTGATCTGTAAAGCCTTGGGAAGTACCTCATGACATAACTGTGAAATGTATTTCAAAAAATCAGATCTGCATACATTTCTGTGCAGTTAGCAGATTTGCGTCTGTGCTGTCAGCAGGTGTAATCGGAAGCGAGCCTTGATTGCTCTTCGTGCCTAATTAAATAGTTTGTAATTATAATGGTGAAAATACGGTTTTCTAAAACACTTAAATTCTGTTTACCTAAAAGCTTAGTGTTCCTAAACCATCTCTCTCCACAATCACCAAACCAGTAGTGGAATAGAAGAAAATGAATGTGGGTTTTATTATTATTATTATTATTATTTGTCTCCTACTTCAGCATCCACAAATGTTAGCTAGTCTTTTGATGAGAGTGTTTGGAGACACTGCTTATGTTTTTAAGATATGCCAAATAGTATAAATCCAATTCCAGTGAATTCCAGTGTTGAACTAAGACTGGAAAGTTTGCATGTCGTGGATAGAAAAGTCATTTGCTTTATCACATCATGCTCAACACTGTTGCTGATGTCAATTTCTTTCTCTCAAATTCTCCAACACTGCTCCTTCCTCACTTTCTTTCCTTTTGCACGTTAACATCTTTTCTCTCCCTTCTCGTATTCCTACTTAACATTGACTCTCTATTCTCCATCAATACGAGACTAGTAAAACCACACTTTTCTTAGAAATTGTTCACTTCGGACTGTGTTCCTGGTCCCCCATGTCCGAACAGTGTTAATGACATCTACTTGAAAACATAACCAGTCCTGCTTCTTCTTTCTTCTTTTAAATCCACTTTCTCCTTTTTTCTTTTCCTTGCCTCTTCCCAATCTCCTGGAATTCCTTTTCCTTCTTCCTCATTGCTCACTGCTGCCCACTAACTCTTCAACACTTGCTTCTTTCTGATCTTTACACAAGCTGAAATCTGGATCTGCCAAGGTTGTGTTGTTTTAGCAACCATACTTTTTACAGCAAGTCCTTCCCACTGCATTCTTGACCACACTACCTCTGTGAGAAGTGAGGGAGCTCTTGAACTTCTGTCCTGCTGTCATCCAGAACTCACCCTCTTTTCTAAATAATATTTAAAAGTCTAGAGGGACAGACTGAAAAAGGCAGTCTGTATATCTTAATTCTAGTCTGTATATCCTAATCCTTGCAATACATGATAGCTCCAGCTCAACATCAAACTTTGTGAATCATAGAGGGTAAGAGAGTGCTGATATCTGTCCAGGCAAAAGGTAGAATACATCCAGAGTTGGCATCATAAACACCTGACTGCTGCTTCTTAGTCCCTATTGTCATCAGAATTTACTGTAGCATGTATGGTTGTACTGTTCCTTTTATTTTTTTTTTCAACTGGGGATATCGCGTGCTGATCTTGCTGCCCTTTTTGTTGCTGTTGTTGGTTTTGTATATATATTCGTTCTGTCTATACTAATTAATGTTTCTGGTGTTACGTCCTCTGGCATAAAACAAATCTCCGTAATGTTGTCTCTTTCCTTCAATATTCCTCACCTCCCCTATGCAAAATAACCTAAATTTACACTATGTTTTTTCTTACATTGTAGCTCCCCCACAGTTTGTGGTGAGACCACGAGACCAGATTGTAGCCCAGGGTCGAACAGTGACTTTTCCTTGTGAAACTAAAGGAAATCCCCAGCCAGCTGTTTTCTGGCAAAAAGAAGGAAGTCAGGTAAGTTATAAGCACCCTGTAAGCTTTTCAAGCCTTTACAAATTGTTACAGTTAAATTTTTAGGAATATTATTTACATTACCTTTCACAGATTCTTTTAATCTTTCACAAGAATTTGTTTTTTAAACTATCACTATCTTTTACCTACATTTCTATTGCTGATTTTTAAAACATTAATACTGTGAAGAACTCAAAGACCATTTAAGTTAGTGAAAATTGTGCTGGGCACTGTATAACTGCATAGAAAGCAACACTCTATATCTCAAAGACTTCTCATTCTGAAGCCCCTAACAAACAGGTGGGTGAGACAAACATAGTAGGTAAAAAAGGTATGACTCACTTTTTAACTAATCAGAGTCAGTAATTACAGTTCACAACCTGTCTAGACATGATCAAGCAGATATATATCTAGCAAGCTGATTTGCATCAGCATATTCTCATAGTGCATACAGATACAGGTTTTGAACACGCAGATGCTTTCTTCAGTGAAGTTGTCTCAGGAAATTTCCAAATCTGGTTTTAGAAATACTTCCCTGATCCTTAGTGTCACTTTTTTGGAAGCAAAATTTCCAATGTATCAGCAATGTTGCCGTCAGCTAATGCTATCTTCTATAGCTTAATATTTGAATGTCATGCCATAACATTTTTTTACTGCTGTTGCTGTATTGGCACTATGTTACAGCAGAAGTCAGTCCTTCTCAGTTTCAACATGCAGTTCATGTTTAGTAGGTTAAATTTGAACACTGTAAACTATGTGTACCGTATTCTCTTTTGTACCTGAGAAAAGATTTAAAGTGACAAATGGATGCCCAAGGAGAGTGCCTTCTGCAGCTCCATGATGAAGTCTGTCATGGCCACAGCTGCCTATGTAGCTATGCTATGCACCTTCTCCACTAGCTAAATGATTCTTTTTAGAGCTCTGTGCTATTTTTTCCCATAGAGCAATATGTGAGTTAGCTCAAGTATCTACATACTGTGCTGTGCAGCGCATATATGACTTTATCAAATGAGGAGGCATTGTGCGTACCAGCTCGGTTGAAAAGTAAAATAAGAACTAGACTGCAGATCTCCCATTCTGCCCTGTCTGCTTCTGCTCTACCTACTTCTGCTTCACTTTCTCACAAGTCAGATAACTGGTCCAAAATGACAGGACCAAAGCTGACAGCATTTTGTGCTCTGTTGCACTTGTGGCTTGCGACAATACAACACTGGAGTGTAAGTTTGTGTGAGTATAAGCCGAGTCTTCAGTGTGTTTCTTTCAGCATATCATTCAGAGAACTTTACATCTGGCCTCCATGGATCACATTCTGAAAAAGCACAATGTAGTCTCACTTAGGTGAAAATTGTTCCAAAGGGAAAGTAAAATAGCATATTGAAATTAAAGCAGGAAGTACTGATGTGCTAGCAAACATTTCAAAACCCTTCCTTGTAGAGCATTTTAATAACATGGTAATGTTTATGTAAAGTGAGCTTATAGTGTCACACTTGAATCTAATAAAGTGGACATCCATCATGCTGTAATAAAGAGAAGAGCTTCTAATTAAAGTAGGACATCATTTGCAGGATTAAAGTCATTTAGCGTAATTGAAAAGTGTTAATACTCTATTTTATCCTCTTCCATTGGTATCACTTCAAGGGTAAAAACATTTTAAGGTGAAAATGCATCTTGTGTCTTTAATTGAATGTTATTACCTACTGATTGTACCATGTTGAAGCTGTTTAATTACAAACCTGGAAAATTAATTACCATATTGAGGACCGGATCCCTGAGGGATAGAATTGTTTTTTTGGCAAATAAATGCAACATAAAAATTGATACCTACATGGTTTATAATCAAACCTGGAAACATAGCTCAATGTGATTCACTACACCCTCATGTGAATCTTAATTGAGCATCAGCAAAGTAACACAGGTTAGTGTTACTGTCTCAATATACGGTTTGTCAGATTTTGCAATGAGATGCCATAGAATAGGTGAGTTTTCACATACTGTATATCATCATACATATCTGGAGTATGGTATTTTGGCCAAATTACGTGACTTTTCATCTTTGCATGGTTGGCTTTACAACGCTTTTTCTTGAGATCTGTTTGCAGCACCACTGATGGTGTTCAGAGTAATGTTATGTAGTCATGTTAGACCAGTCCAGTAATTGTAGGGCATTTTTCACTGTGAATCCATTTCTCAATCCTGTGTTTCTGAGCACAACCAGCTGGAAGGGAATGGAGCTTTTCCCTCAGGAATAATTTTCTTTTGTGCCTGTTTGTGCATAAACGGTTGGTCCTTTGTACTCTGTAAGTTTTTTCCCAGACCCTAAGAGCCACCCGCCAATGAAATGCACCAGGGCAAGGTGTGTGTAACCTTTAAACTCTGGATTAAATTCTTCCTTGAGATTAATTCAGTGATATCACATCAGAGGTTACTCTGGTCCCCCTGTTCGTTACCCATCATGCCACCATTGCGCCCAGATGAGCAACCCAACAGCTAATTAAAACAACTAATGTAAAAACATCTTAAAAGGAGTTGTACTGTAATTTAGGACAAGTTGTAATTCATAGTTAACTGGTCTTTGAAGGAAGGAGTCATGAGACTGATGAACTCCTCCTGATGTGTGAATATTCACTGGGACGTGGTACTTGACCAGAACAGACAAGCCCATACTGAAGATAAAATGAAGGATAACCTCCTCTTTCTAATGCAGTGATAAGGAGGCTTCTGGATTTTTTTCCTCTTAAGAATTAGGAGCTTCATCCGTACACCATCTTTTATGTTGTGTTTATTTTTACACATTGCATAATGAGTGATAAATGGAGTCAATCAAAATTGTTTGCTTTCTCATAAAATGTAGTGGATTTTTCATAATACCTTTGTTTGGTAGGTGTCTGTGCCAGGCAGAGTTTATTCTGAAAGTTTCAAGACAATTCAGAAAACAGGGAGATTTTTTGAGAGCCACTTAGCCCTACAGCCTGAAATTGTTTCAGAAGTTTCACACTTTCTTCCTTATTAGATCTGACATGTTTACTGGGTGCATATTGATTTTGGAGGAAAAATTTGTTGTGAAAAAATTCTTGAACAGTGACATTGAAAGGGGTAAGGGAAAAGAGTTACCCTAAGGTGACAAGTAGCCTAGAAAGTAATACAATTACAAGGATACTTGGAGTGTCGGATCTTGTTTAAAGCACCTCTCTCTCCTTTTATTGCCATAACCGGAGATAAAAGTGTGAATTTCACTTCAAAGCAGATTTTTTTAAAATCCAAGCTTGTTTCTTGTCAGTTTCAAATATTTTTTTGTGAACCATTAAGGTCTACTGTAGAAGAAGCACATCTACAGAAAATTCATTTAATACTCTATTCTATACTTTTAGATTTTCTTTTTAGCCCATATAGACAAGCTTACAAGTGAGCAGGCAGTTGTCATTAGAAAGCACAGCAGAGCTATACAGAGCTGCAGTAATGACTGAAAGCTTATCACAGCATGGTAACAGTGTTTTGGGATATTCCTGATACAAGCAATTGGTTTTTTCATAGAGACTTGTTGAGCTGACATAAAAGGCAGAACATATTTTCATGGAATTAGTGTTGTTTAATTATTGTTTAGTCTGTTCCCCTTTCTGTCTCACTGGGCAATGCTACTGACCTTTTTTTTTTTTTCACATCAAGAGCTGTGCCAGATGATACAAGTTTTTCCATGAAAACACAATCCTCACCACTGCAACAGTTTCAGTCCTTTTCTGTGTTATTGATTCATTCAGTCCTTTATCATATGCAGTGACTACTACATCCATTCCAGTTATTCTTGTTGACATCTCTCTTTTCTCCAATCCAGGCCAAAGGCAAAAGCTAACCTGTCTGTTTTGTGCTAACTGATGATGTCTTATCCTAGATGAAATTATTTTTTCTTTCTGATGATTTCCACATCAGATTTATACTCTTTTTTTTCACCCTCACGGCTCTATGCTGCATTTCACCTTTGGTATATCTCAGTTTTAATTTCCTTTTACTTCTTTAAGCTCTCATGCTCTGCCAGCTTCTCCTACTTTATGACCTGTTTGTATCTTCCTCCCAGCTTTTCTTCTGTGCAATGGTCTTACTTTCTCCTTTGCCCAGAACATAGTCACAGCCAAACAATAATGCTATGCTCCCTCAAGTCTCCAGGATTCAATTATTTCTTCTAGTTTTCTAATGTTTACTGAAGTATTGTGTCCTCCTCGTTTATTAGCCAACTAACCATATCATTACAGTTCCATTCAGAATGAAGATGAATGTGTCATAAATACAAATCACTCAACGGTTGGAAAATTTTTCCTCATCTGTACCCCCAGCCATAACACACCACTGTGTGCTGTCAAAGGACTGTTTATAATTCAAACTACAATGGAAAGCTAGGTCTATGTGTTCATGAAGTCACAACCACACTTACTTTTCCTTCTTGTTTATATATATAGTACTTTTAAGGAAAAATCATTGTTTCTCTAGCTGAGGCAAAAGTGTTACTTTCGTGTATTGAATTGATGTGAGATGAATTGTCTTTGCAGAATCTACTCTTCCCAAACCAGCCTCTCCAACCCAACAGCAGGTATTCAGTGTCACCAGCCGGAGACCTCACTATTACCAACATTCAGCGGTCTGATGCAGGCTACTACATTTGTCAAGCACTGACGGTTGCTGGAAGCATTTTAGCAAAGGCTCAGCTGGAGGTTACTGATGGTGAGCTATAGACATTCCTATTGTTTATTTCCTGTCAAAAGTATTTGAAAAGCAGTGTAAATAAAGGCATATCAGATCACATAATTCATACAAGTAAATGGACAATTTTCTACAAAAAATACAATGAAAAAGGGTCTCTGCAGTTCTCTATGGTATCAAAAAGGCATCAAAGTCTAATTTGCCTTTTTCTTGCTTTCTAGAGGTTCCTTAACAATGGAAACAAGGGACAAACCAGCTTAGAACAGGGTTAGTAAGAAAGGAAGCTGCTCAGTTCACTAGAGCTAAAATAGGACTGCAGAAAAACACTGTGAAGAATTAATAGGTTTGCAATTAAATCAGTGAATTGGAGTGCTGAAAAATAAGGCTCAATTCCCAATAGTCTTCAGTATTGGGGAGCTAGTTCGGGGATGGGTCCTTAGCTCAACTAATTCAACACAGTTGCCTTGAACTCACTGGAGTACTGTTGGTTTAGAACAGTACAACATGTAGCGTTTTAGACCCTCTGTGAATAAGGCACTTACCTCACAGCTATGTTCTAAGACTTTCTCAGTATGGTTAGGTGAGAATAGTTTTCAAGAAAGGAAAAGGACACTGCATGATCTCTCTTGATGCCTTTAATTTCAAGATTTTGGTTTGAAATTTATCCTGCCTTGAGATTTACCTTATTCCATTTACAAACATGAATCCTTTTCATATATCAGGAATCCTATGATACCCCTCTTCGTCCCAATGTGTACAGAAGGCAGTTTACACCCCTTAAAGTTAGTGAAAAAAACAACAGTATTCCTCTTATACTAGGAGATTGCTGCATTCCCCAGCATCATTATTCTTTATCTTAACTGACTCATTAAATATCTCCTGACAGACTTTGATGAATTTTTGCCATTAAAACTGTTGTTATATGCAGAGGTCTACTTTTACTGTTCCCTTAGAGACCTGCCTGCACCATGAAAGTTTGAAAAGATGTCTAATTCTGAATAATCTGGCTTTTCACAAGAGCATATTCATCACAAGTGACAGGTAGAGAGGTTCAGGCTCACGTTATAGAGGTTTGAGCATTAATTTGATGCCTTTTCTTTGTTTTCCAAAGCTGTCTGTATTTTCATGACAAGGGGAGATAATTTCTGCCTTATCCTTGCATCTTTACAAGCATGTGGCTTTTCTGTAAGGTAGTTTCTGGAGACTAAAGGCTAACCTTCACTCTGCAATATCTTTAAGGCCTTTCTCTCATGGTATGTGACAAAATGATGCATTTTCATTCAATTCAAATTTAAATGTAGATTAAAAGGTCATTTAAAATTAATGGAAAGGCAGTATTTTTTAATATCTGTCCATAGTGCTGCCTGATTCAGTGCTATGACTGTGATTGGTATAAATAGAACACACAAACATTGGCTAATAGGACATCGAACTGTTAATGGTTTCACCTGCTGATGCTGTACAGATTTACTGCAACAGGGGCTGAGGGGATCAAATCAGGTTCAAGGATATTAGTGATGAGAAATTCTTCCTTTTGACAGACAAAGCCTGTGGTCCATCTTTATCTATTTGGTGTGGGAGGGAAAGAAAAATAATAAATCCTAATTGATGTCTTTGGAATTTTCATTTGTTTATTTAACAAGTCAACAGAAAGCTCTCAAAAGTGTCCCTGCTAAAATGCACATACATCTACAATTAGTTCTGATTATAGGCAGTGTGCATTCCATGTTCTAGAGAAAGCATTACCTGGTGGCTCTGCTGCTCAAGGAATGCAAAACCTGTGTTCTTCAAATGCTTTCCAGAACCCACTGTGAGCATGATCATTATGAAATAATACAAGATTGTTATAGAAATATCATTTCATCCTTGAGTCAAAGGGCAGATGAGGTCAGAAGAAAAGTGCCAAAACAGTATTGTGGAACTGAGATTATATAAATAAATGTACCATTAGATCAGAGATTTTTTTTTAAATTGCTTTCAGTTAGGAAGTTAACCATAAATGTCTAAATAATCTGTTTTGTTTGATGCTGAGCAGAAGTTATGGAAGCTAATGATTTTTATCAGTAGGGAAATCTAATTTAATGGTTTTAAGAATATAATAAAAGATAAACACTGTGCATGCTAGCTATATACTTAAGCATTAGTGTTCTAGTTTTTGGCTGGTGCTTTCAGTTTTACTTCATAGCCCAGAATTTTTCTGTTTGGTTAATGATTTAATAATAGTGGCGAGCCATCTTTTTCATTTTGAACACATTTTTGTTTGATCCAGAGTAATTTAGTTCCAATTGAAGTTCCAATACAGAATGAAAACATATGTCATGTGCAGAAAAACAAGTGCTTAATTATACCATATATAGCAGTGTTTCAGTTGTTACATTTTTGCACTTACAAATCTTTACTGGAAATATTTTTAACTCAAGTGTTCGCATGAGAAGAGATTACTAGCTGTGATGAAATGTGCTGAGTTGAGTGATAATTTTGCTGATTATGGACTGTGCTAAGAGCCTTCAGTGTATTTGAAATTCAAATCTTGTATTTTCTTGAAAGGCTATCATATAATCCACTGTCTAACGCACATCTGGAAAAGCAAAATAATTTTAAAAATTGAGAGTCTTAGCAATCCATTCGAACTCAAGAAGTGAATATGCAGCTCACAGTCTTAAAATGACAGATCATGCAAATAAACCAAACACTTCCATCTAACTACGTCTGTGCTCAAGATAGAAAGAAGAGTTTACAATTAGTAATTTGTTCCGTCATGCACAGATTATTTTGGAGAAGATCTCAATTCCTCCTTATCTAGTCATTATAAGTATTTATTAATAGAAGTGTTGACCATTGCATGCTCAATTGTAGGATGAGCCTACTTCGCCCAGTTTACCCAACAGTTGCTGTTCAGGGTGAATATTGGGATGGAAGAGCAAGCTTAACCTCCCGCCATGGATTTTACTGGCATAATAAAGATGAACTGGTTTGGGATATTAAATTAATTGAAAAGATTGTGTTTCTGGGCTTTTGAATGAAAACAAAAGACTGGACCTATAGGATATTCTATAGGATAATTCAGAACAGATAGGAAAAAAGAGAAGGAATTAGCAGCATACCTCAATAGCTCCCTCCCCCGTGATTTGGAATAGACAGTAAGGCATTTTTCCCAAACTCCTCTGCAATTTTTTTAACTATAGGTCTATTGAATATTCTGGTGTATGTCTTTCTCAGATCCTCCTGGAAGAATTTAATATCATTCAAGTTTACTCATCTGATAATCTGGCCACCATGATTCTTATCCCCCATCAAATGTATATTGCATGTTTTATAGCAAGGGTGATGGTTTTGAACAGGAGAGATTCAGAACAATTCCACAGCCTGCTGTGAAGCTTTTCAGCAAAAAAAAGACAGAGGAAGGGTGGGACTCTGCTTTTCCACCTCTCAGGAGAGCACCCTGTCCTATTATACTTGTAGTCACCATGAGAATTTTGTGACTTGTGTCTGATTTTCCTCATTAATTCACCAGGAAAACTTCTGAAATGTGGATTTTGGAAGCACCAAAGTAAAGACTTCATTTTCTCATTCTCTTATTTTGATTTCCTGTTGTAATTTGACCAAATTGCACCCAAACATGGTTTCAGTTGATTCAAACTGCATTTGTAGTGAATCAACTGTTCATTAACAAACATTATTTGCTCCTTTGATACTCTGATCAAAATTTACACTGCATTTTATCACAAAAGGAGTCTAATAATTTTTCAGTTACGAGAATACATGAATATATGGTTGCTGGCAAATGGTTTCAAAACCTTTTTTTAAAATTACATTAATTTTTATATCAACTTCTCTTTTACTATGCGAACATATTTTAGCCATACATAATATTTCCATGGAATGGATATAAAAGTCTCCTGCTAGGAGAAAGCAATGTAAAATTTAAATTAAAAAATAAAATGTTATAAAAGCAAGTAACAAAATCCCCAACCATTTTGTGGATATCTTCCACTATCTCTCTGTTCTTCAGAATGCTTGTATATGTCTTTTTAAACCTCAAACCGAGTTTTGGAACCTTACTAATGAGGAGACCTATGTAGTAGGAATACAAGCATGTATACACGTTTTAGAGAAGATTTACAAGTCATAGTTGTGAAGACAATACAGTCGTTCACAGATCAGTGGAAACCCTAAGTGTTCATTTAACCTTTAGCCTTAGTGTCATGGAAACCTGTAGTGGTCTTTCACCCATAACACCCTTGAAAATGAAGATTCCTTCTGGCCAGGAGACTTTCAATTACACTATTGATCAGAGCTATTTAAAGGATTATGAGCTCCTCATTTGGGCTGTAAAAAACCTAATTACATGCCAGAGAACAATATCTGTAATGCAGTAGGTTTTGAAAATACCTACATTGCTACACATATGAAGGGCAATTAGATGGAGCAAATAGTAACTGAAATGGAGTAGTTAGCAATTTAAGTAATTATTTTTCCTTAATTTTTAGCTGCTTAGAAAACTGGGATTTGCTGTTTTGCTTAAATCTAAAGGAAAACTGACACAGCTAAATTTTCATTTGAATATACTCTTGCTGCAGGTATTCTGACAGTACGTATGAGCTGAGATCAATTTTTATTTCACCACATGGCTGAACTGCATAGTCAGAGGCATCCTTAATGAGATAAAAAAAAATACATATATCAAGGGAAAAATGCATTGTATTTTCTCTTTTCTTGTAATGTAGTGTTTCCTGTTCTCTTATTTCACTGGGTGATATTTCAGAATTTCCCACATTATGGTGTTAATAAATAATCTGTATTGGCTTTCTATTTTTGGTTTCAATTGCAATAAATGTGATGAACTCACATTCCAAGGTGATGCTATTACTAATGATTCTATCCTTTGTGTACCTTGGTAACAAAAGAATTTAGTTAATATTTTTACAAAATTACAATTTCAGAAACAATTATTTTACGTTTAAAATGTATCACCACATGAAAGTGCTTTGAATCTGTGGAAGGTTCCAGAGATTTGCATCTCAAACAGCTTAAATACAATAGAAACTATATTGCTTCACAATAACTTATTTTCACCTGATTGTTAGTCAGGTGTTGTGTATCAACAGTAACAAAATAGATTCTGAGCGAGAATAAATGATTCAAACTCAGTTGGCATCAGTGGAGGGAGGCTAACTTTTAACTGGTTTAGGAGCTAATCTTGCCTGTTTGAATTTCTGTTTAATACCAATCATATAATTGTTCAGTTGTTCAAAGATCTAAAACAGTAGCAGTGTGGCAGGTAAATATACAAAAATGAATTCTTGGTTCTGTTATTTTGATTTTATGCAGGAGTCATAGCCTTGTTTATATTCAAGTATTTTACATTCATTCTGTATAAACACATTCTTTAGAAACAAAGAGTTACATTTTCCTACTTAGCAGATGGCTCAGAGAGTAGGTTCAACAGCAGAATTACTTATGAAAAATAGATCTTTAAAGAAAAGCTAACATGAACATTTTACCTCACCTTCAAGATATCCCACTGGTCATGGAATGAGTTTTACACGCAGCCATGCACTTACTCACTAGTTACAGAGTCCTTTAAGCCGTATTTCAAGCATGCAAATGTAAATTATTAGGGGAAAAAAATGTTCACAGCTCTAAAAGGTGATGAATAAAGTAAGCTGTTAAATGGCTTGATTGATTTTGAACTTTTCTCTACCGGAAACATTTAGATCACTCAGATTATGAATATGTTTTGTATTATTGTTACATATTTTTGCTGATGAAGATTTGCAATTTGAGCATGAATGGGGGATGTGGTTTGTACCCAGGCTAGACTGGATACTATGTTTCACTTTGAACATTTACAGATTTTCTCTTTTAGGCCCTAAATCAGGTAAGCAATTAAACCCATTTTGATGTGACATTAAACACGTGCTTTAAGTGCTTTCCTCAGTTGGAAGAATTGAGAAATGTAACGCAATTATTTTCTGAATTCAACATCTGAATTTTCATTCTGTCTTAACCAAATGAGTCTGATGATTAAGAGGAGTTTATATGTCATGGTGTTACCTCACAGTGGTGAAAATAAATTCTTACAAAAATGTTTTTCAAATATACCATTTGATTGTTAGCATCTGTCTGTGTGTCTTCCAAAATTAGCCTTTAGAGGCTCACTTAAACCAGTCTGCTAAAACTGGTATGTTGTCACGGAAAGGGCTAATGCAGCAGAGATTGTTAAAGGTGAGGATGCCAATGCCCATGTCACTGTTTAGTCTTGACAGATAGGCCTCCGCCCATCATCCTCCAGGGACCGGTCAATCAGACACTAGCAGTGGATGGGACAGCATTGCTCAAGTGCAAGGCAACTGGCGACCCCCTTCCTGTCATCAGTTGGCTAAAAGAAGGATTCACCTTCCTGGGCAGAGACCCTCGAACATCCATACAGGACCAGGGGACACTTCAGATTAAAACTTTGCGGGTGAGTAGTGGTAACAAAAGAAGTACTGCAAGTGGTACATCATGGCTAGTCTTGAGCTGTTGGTGTGTGCCTCAAGCAGCTCTGCTGTCTTGCTGCCTGTTGTCTTCAAAATTAATTTAATTGTCTCTTTTACTACAAAATTCTTACCAAGTCCACATCCTATCTCATTCTTTGACATTGTGTATAGGGAAGGGGGGCAGAAAAAGAAGAGCCAAACTAACATCAGATATTTCTATTAGAATTCCTAAAAATAGCATTTATATTTAAAATCTTACATATGTTGCAATGAAACATGAGTTGAGGATGCACAGACTTGTAAGAGGACAGGACTTCCTTATCTTTTTAGTCAATCCTACCATGAAGCCATTGGCCTGTTGTCTCTGTTAAAACTTTCGTCACCTGGTCATTATTTTCCAAGGAGCTATTGTGCTAGCAAGTGATTCTGGAGTTCATCAGGGTTTGGCAGTGCACTTTCTCCGTCAATGAGTCTTGGCAGTCTTGAGCTGGCTGATTGATTCCGACATTACGCTTGCTGGAGGTACTCTATCAGGCTGCAGGTGGGAGGAGACAACGAATACTTTAACACACGTAGTCATATGCAGAGGGATTTCTATTAAAATAAAATGTATGTCATTATATCTACGTTTTGACGCATGATACGGTATCTGAAAAGTACAAAGAAATCTTCTGATATTCTGAATAGCATGTCAAATATTGTTGATAAGCACCACATCACTAATCTCTGTTTGGGCTTTTCATTTTTCCCTTTTCAAAGATAAAATGCGCATTTGTGTGTGTGCGGACAAGCATGTATATGGAAAAATAGTAAAGTAAATGTAATTATTTGTCAAGAACTTAAAGACAATTTCAGAAACCATTTAATTGCATCAGCAGTAATTTCTGCACTTAGTTTCGCCATCCAAAAAAATGTCAATAAACTCAGCTACTGAGGAGAAGACATAAAGACCTGTTTTGTTTTCCGATACCACCTCATCAGTGATCATACATGAATTGTTAACTTCCTTGGAACAAAATGGAATTTATTAAAAAATTTATGCTAGCTTTCCTTGAGTAAACAATTTATCCTTTCTCCCTGGGCTGAAGGCAGGTTTAGGCCATGAAGGTTAATGCATTTTTCCTGTAGAGCTGGATTAAAGAGTGCACTTGAATAGTCAAGATTCCCCAGTAGTGTTAGAAAGAAGCAATTAAAGGTGGAAGCTTAGTGATTTCAAACAAACTTTCAGGAATCGATGATGGGCTTCTGTGGAGTGTCCATGAGGCAGAAGCTCCTGGGATACCTGTCTGCATGCAGCTATGCAAACAATGAAATAGGTTCTGAATCATGCCAGCGCATTAATCTCGCTGTTAGAGGCAAAAGGTCTGTAAACGAAAGGAAAAAAAATTGCTTGCAAGGGGAGAAGAAAACAGTATTAGTGGTGAGTGTGGTTTTGAAAGACACAAAGCTTTTATTGATCCTTAAGTGGCTCATTCACTAGTAACCAATTTTCCTTAAAGGCTCAGAAAGACATTTTTTATAAACCCCTCAATTGCAGTAATGTGCACTGTTTGACTCAGACTTCAGAACAAAAAACACGCATAACCATAAAAAACAGATTTCTCCTCTACCTTGCAATTTTTATTAAACAAATAGGGATTTAAATCTGGAATGTTTAACTTTTCTCTCAGGTCTACCTGAGCAAAGGTTAGCAACACTTCCTAAGCAAAAGCTATCAAGGAAATATGTCCAAGTACACTTACATACCCAATTTCAAAATAAATTAATATTTATGACCCACATGTCTTCAGCCGCCTTCTCCCCCCACAAATAATAATCAGTATTGTAATCATGAAAGATTCCAAGATATGGGTGAAGATGAGCTACTACTACTTCAACCTTTGCAACCATCCTCTTCTGCTATGTAACTCTCTTCCTATATGTAAATCAAATTATTCATGAGTTTGCAGCAATCACAGTGAACTATGGGCCAGTCATAAACATGAACCTAGAGATTTTTCTGGTGAGCCAATCTTCTCAGTTGCTGTGAGAAAGAAAACTAAAAACTCACATACATCACTCACACAGTACCCTTTCAGACGGGTCAACACTGCCAGAAAACTCCTTTCTACTTCGTAGATGTGTACCACACCGGATTTAGACATCTGCATTAACTAAGGAAGAAAATGGTTTATTTTACTGAATAGCAAAGATTTTCCATTCACCTCCCCTGTTGGGTTTGGGGTTTTTTTTCCCCCATAGGACAAAAAAAGTATAAATAATTGTATTATCGATACATTGTGTCTGTATCTAATCCATCCACAGTCTGGAATGTTACATAATTCACCTTAACTTGCAAGAGGCAGCAACTCTCCAGCTTGCATTGTATGTTGAGTTTCCCTTCTGCACGTTACTCTGTTGTGTAGATCACATACTTCATTGAGTACACCATACACTATCTGTCACGGTAGTAAAAAAATGAAGTTGAGAACCACAGCCTTGAGAAATATTCTCCATTATCACATAATGAAGAATTATACATTTTATAAAAGCTCAGACAAAGCAAAACAAAACACTACTTCAGAATGCAATAACGCACTCTTTTTCAGAAAATCTGTCTCATTTCAAGAGTCTCATTTCATTAGCAGTACGTCTATATTCTGAGTCTCTGAGTGATAGTCAGGGGGGTTTAATTATTGCTTGTATGTCACGGAAAAAACATGCTCATTCAGACAGTTGACCTGGCATTAATCAGTTGCTTCCTGCCCCTAAGATGGGTACACTGCAGTCCCAGTATATCTGAAGAAAATACCAAGCAAATTCAAACATGATAAAGTTAAAATCAATTAAATTATATATATCAACAAGTATTCTAAAGATCATCTAACTTACTTGCCTTGACATTCTTCTTGAAGAGTGAGGTATAAGCACATTTGCTATAGTGCCAATCTGCATTTAGCAGAAAACCCATTACAATTCCTTAAAGTCCAATAAAGCTTCTTGGATGCAGTCCTATTTCCGTCAAGTCATCTGATGGTGAATATAATTCTTCTCCTTTATCACTGGAGTCAGCACTCTCCCTCTTTTCCTTCCAATTCCAGATCACCAAGCTTTATACATAGTGGTAGGAGGGCTTCCTTTATATATTTTCTACTTTGTTAAGTTACCGTTTTCCATACATTTTTGTAGTCTTCACTAGTTCCTGTCTCATAAAACTTTATATTTCAGTAAGCAATAGCAAAACACTTGGCAAATTTTCCAATAGAATAATTTATACATCAGTGTGATTAATATTGACAATATAGTTCGAAAAGGTTTTCCCAAATAATTTCGAAATATATGAACTGACAAGAAAATCATGGTAGTTTTATGCAAATGCTTTTTTTTTGCTACCGAAGTGCCTTGCAAGCCTTAAATAAAATCTTGCATGAAACAGAAGAAAGGTAAGCATGGTGTAGCATCTGGTCTAATTTTGCCATTCGAAAATTGCTTGGAGGACTGTCTGTACAGAGAGAACCACTTCAGTCTCAGCAGCGGTATTTGTACATGTGGTGGCCTGTATAGAAATGACTTCATGTGTCATAAGAGTCTAAGATGATGCCACAGCTTTCCAGATGCTAGAAAATGCATCTCTGTGTCATCATTGGATAATGAATGGTGAGATTTTAGCCTCTAAGAAGTTAATTGTTGTTATGTTGTTACCTGATTTCACCTGCAGTTGTTGTAGCCAACACAAAGATTGACACTAAAGCAGACACTTGGTAGCACTTACATGCTGTATTGGTACCATTAACCATATGAAAGTTAGAATTAGAAAAACATTAGGAGCAAGTGATCTTCTTACATTTCTGTAAAAGTAACTCACAATTAAATGATTGTTTATAAATATACGATTTAAAATGTCGGCTAAGTCCTTCTCACCAACAAACATTTAGAATCACAGAACCACAGAATGGTTTGGGTTGGAAGGGACCTTAAAGATCATCTAGTTCCAATCCCCCTCCCATGGACAGGGACACCCTCCACTAGAGCAGGTTGCTCAGAGATTTAGAAAAAGAAAATTACAGTAAACTCAAACAGCTGATTCTAAAAGGTTGTTAAAACTGCCCTTTACTCTATTTTCTGTCTAGCTGTCCGATACTGGTACTTACACTTGTGTTGCTACAAGTTCCAGTGGGGAGACATCTTGGAGTGCTGTGCTGGAGGTGACAGGTAAGCGATACTCAGGGGCTGTTTTTCATTTGGCACAAAATGAAAGTGTAAACTGTATCACAGAAGTCTGAGTCAAGTAATCCATTCTAGAAATTCTGAGATTGAGATGGAGAAGTTTTAGGTGGGAAGGCCGGGTTCCTTCACATGCCTTCATTTAATTGCTTTTATCTTAAATGCCTATTGACATTGCAACCATTTGTGTTTGTCTCCAGTGACAGCAGTATGCTATAACTTTTCTAAACAGGAGCGTTAATAAACTATGGATATGTCCAGTAATTGGCTTGAGCAAGAAAACTATTATGCCTACACAGAGGCCTATCAAAGTCCAGTGTGCTCTCTGTGAGTACAGGAGGTGATCTTGGATATAGGAGCTGTCTCAGCTTTCTAGTAACTGAGGTTTTGGCATTTTTTGTGAATTTCAGCAAATCTGGGCTTTTTTGTTATTCTTTATTTCTTTTTTTTAATATATATTTATGTATAATCTTTTGAGTTATGCCTTTTTTTTTCTTTCAGTATGTACCTAAAAAATGATGGCTCTTCATCCAAAACTATATGTGGTAATGAAACTGTTGACTTAGCTCTTTACAGATTAAGAGCATTGGTTATTCTGGCTTTGCAGATGTTCGACATGTTTTTCCTTTTGATTTTCTACTTTGTTCAAATTTATACAATCAAGGTTAAAAAGTAACTGTTTTGTATTTGCCCCTCACAGAATCCGGTGGAGCAACAGTCAGTAAAAATTACGATATAAATGACCTCCCTGGGCCGCCATCCAAACCTCAGGTCACTGATGTAACTAAGAACAGTGTCACCCTGTCCTGGCAGCCAGGGACCCCTGGAAGCCTACCAGCTAGTGCATATATCATTGAGGCTTTTAGGTATGTGATTTATTACAATTTTAATCTCCTTCCATTCTAATTTTGCTTAAACCCTGGTACCAGCTGTTCTGATACTGCAGCGTTCTTTCGGACTTCACACGTATCATTAGAAGTTCATTGAAAGACTCAACTCCTATGGCAGGCATTGATGCTTATTTTTCAAATTGATTTTTTTTTTTTAATTTATCACTTTTTTCTGATTAATTAGAGGAGCATCCATCTATTTCTTCAAATCAACAGGAACATAACAGGGCAGTGCAGTCATCATTTGTTGCTTTTCCTTTAGCACTGATGATCAGTGAGAGTCTCCTGTGGGAATGCTGCAGGTCAAATCATTTGGGCCAGTGTTATCTTAACTATCATAGTATAAATAATGTGAAAATAAATGAATAATCCTGAAGCCTCTCTGCATAATTTCATCCCTGTACTTGTTAAAGGAGCACCTATTGAAGAGTCAAAGCACTTTACATTTCTATTTTTTACTGTTTTAGATAGATAAAAAATTTTAACTGGAAAGGCTAGTGTTGACAGTGTAGGATTTCATCTTGCAGCCTGAGGCTGATGAGATTCCAGATGCTCCCTTCCACACAGCAGTAACTAATATGTGGCATGAAAGAACTCCTGGGCTCCAGCAATTCAGGAGTTTGTTTAAGCAACAGCTTAAATTCAGCAAGTTTGTTTAAGCAACGGCCATACCTCTCACATGCTTCAGTAATATATGCTTTGACTTAAAAATGGGAACTTTATTAAATATTTTCCTTAATCAAGATCTTCAAAGGATGACACATGATTTAGTTCATCTTTTAATTAAAATTCGTGCAAGAATTTGTCAAAATCACATGCATGCAGATTTAAGAAGTTACAGAGACAATGCTTCATCCTGCTATGGTAATTTGCAAAGGACGTTACTGTATATGCAGATTATTGATTTTTTTCTGGAAATTATCCTTTATGCATTACATGAATGAAACAATTGAAACAACGTGAAACTCGTACTTTTCCATTTTCTTTTTCCTTTTAATATATTTAAAGATTTTTTTAATCAATGCTATGCAACAAAGCACAATAAAATTAAATTTTCTCTTTAAACTTTTGTGTCATTTCACCCTAGATGAGCTCTAATGGCATTCCATCAATAACTTTAACAAAAGCCAGGCATTTTCATTAAAAGCTATTTTGACAATCACACTTGAAATCTCTTCGTACAGTGGATTGTAATCTAATTATAATAATGTCCAATGGAAAACGTAGTAACAGAAAAATATTCATGCTTTCTTTCATTTGCAAGCGTGTTTTCAGAAGGCTTTTTTGTAACTTTGAGTGTGAATTCAGTCAGTTCAAGGAGAATATGTTTCTTCCAGTGACAATTTATTGGCATAATTTACTTAGCAATATAGAAAGTTATTCTTTTAACAGGATTTTCTTTTCCAAGCTTTATGTTCCAGAGAGGCCTATTTATCATTCAAATTTACTTTACAGCTTTCCACAATTTCCTTTTGTAGGTATTTGTTTTAGAGAGATAGCAAAAGCTTTTGCTTCTGTTGAAAGGAGAAATACTTTTGACAGCTGTGGGGTTCTTTATCACATCTTGATGAGTTAACTGAAAAAAATACTTTTATTTTTACTCTGCTTTTACTATTTTTTTCTGTACTTAGACTTGATACAGGGTTACGAAAGCAGCACCTTTAACTTCTTTATTATTTTCTTACATTAGTCAATAATCTTCAACCCTCTTCTCATTGCAGTCAATCTGTGAGCAATAGTTGGCAAACAGTGGCTAACCATGTGAAGACCACGCTCTACACTGTCAGAGTACTGCGGCCCAATACAATATACCTGTTTATGGTGAGAGCTATCAATTCACAAGGTCTGAGTGATCCCAGCCCCATGTCAGATCCTGTTCGAACACAAGGTAATGATAGTTATTAAGGCTTACGTGCTTAAGCTGAAAGAGAAAGAAGGACCTGAGAGTTGACCAGTAGGTTAGTCTGGCCATTTGGCTTTAGCCCTCTGACAGAACAAATCATGTATTGATCTTCACCAAGAAAGATAAAAAACAGCCCAATGTTTGGGCTATTAATCTGGAGTTCAGGAGAAATAGGTTAACTTTTTAATCCTTTGTACACTGTAGACCTTTTGGTTTGCAGTTCACTTAAACTTGGTGTGGTCCCTGATGCCTGGTTTCTGTTGAAAGTGACGTTACTCAAGCTTTTCAGAAACGTGCTCTGAATACCATGCTCTCCTCAGTATCTTTTCTGTCCTTAGTTCCTCTCCGTTTTTAAAATAGGGATATACTACAAAAGCAAGTGTTTATGACAGACAGACACTGTGTTTAGCATTAGATTTGATCAAAAGAATTGCACAAAATATCTGTAGTATATTGATTGTCAAACATGTAGGCAGACAATTCATGTAAATTCAGGCATCTGCATGCTAAGAATATTTTGAAGTGATTATGAGAAAAGTATGGGTCTTCTGTTTATATACCTTCACTTCAGAATTACTGTATGAATCCATTGCATGAACCGTGAGATCCTCTGTCTCTCTTTATGGAAGTTATGAAAGTTTGTGTGGAAGGTGTATCCTTTGTCAGCCTCCAGCATGTGTAAGTGGAGTCCTTTGCTGGTTCTAGATGGAAAGAGAGAAACAAGAGTACTGTGGTATTTCTATTTCTTTATCACATAACAATCATACTTTTCATTGCACCAGCCTTTTAGTCTGCATAACTTATCACCTAGTTAAAAAAAACAACTTTGTTTGGCATTTGAGTGTCAAGTATAGACTTTTTATCTGACATACTGACAGGCAATTTGATTTCAGTAAAAACATGTCTTTTAATTAGCTATGGCATGTGTTGCAGCTTCCATTTCCAGAAGCTGTTTAGCAGTCAAGCACACTGAGACATGTACAGGATTTATAGCTTCTTTGCAAGCCTGCAGTTTAATAGAATTAAATCATAAAATCAATTGAAAATTAGCATAATGTTTTGATGTGATTTCTAATTATGCCTGAATTCAATTCAAGCTCACAGATGAAGCTGACACACTGTAGAAAGCCTATTCACAGTGGCCATGGAGGAAGAAAGAAGCAGCAATAACAGTGCTATATGATATTAATTTGCAACAGGTGCCTGTGGTTGCTTTAATAGCTGAGCATTTCATTTCCTGGTAATAAGTATAGCAAACACAGTAATAGAATTTTTTGCATATTTTCACTAGTGAACTACAAGTAGACAATCAGGCACTTTCAAAAGGTTTACCTTATATGACTGACTTCAGGTAAGGACAGAGAAGTCGGTAATTACTCTAAAAAAAGGCTGATTTCTTGTTTGGATTAATAACAGAACAAAACATGTATTAAAGAAACACTTTAAAGAAAGTATAGAATATCCTACGACTAGAATTTAAATTAGTAGCAACTAATAGTAAATCCACTGGAAGCTGTTAAAAGAGAGAGTAGAGAAAATATATGACCAATTTAATTTTGGAGACCTCTTAATTGTAATCAGAATACAGCTTCTTGAGACAGTTTTGCTTGAGTCATAATTTTATTATTCCATTACTTGATGATATCCTTACAGACAGATCAACTGCTTTTTCACCAGGAGTCTCCTAGTAATGTGAAAATTACTTTAGAAGACATTACCCTGTGACTGTCACGTGTGCATATGTTTCCAAGTGTACATACCAGAAAACAGAATTCCACATGTACATGTTGATACTCATTTCTTACTGTTATTCCCTCACTTCTGGATGTATGTCCCATTAAATAAAATGGAGTTTGTACAAACACACTACATAGCAGTATCTTTTCATCTGAGGGAACATAAGTACACTGTTGGTTGTATACCATAGGGTAGCTTAACCTAAAATACAGCCACGGGTAGCTGTAGGTACTTTGTACCAAGGTTCATAGCTTTTTGTTGATAGCAGCATAAATTATCATCCTGTAAACCAGTCTGAGTTGCTGTCTTACAGATTTATTTTATTATATCTCTCTATTTTTTGGTCACTTTGAAGAGGCATAATTTGCTAGGCAAGCTCCTTCACTGACATCCATATTTGGATTATATTCCCTTCGGAGACCAAGGAACCATTTTCATTTCACTATCAGTAGAAGCCTGTGGCAGTATTTTTTATTGGTGGCTCAGAACCCATAAAAATCCAGAATTATGAAGCTGAAGTACTGACAATCAAATCTACTTTCTTTAAAAATCGTGTTTCAAACTCATTTGTTATATTTAAATGTTTCATTTGAACAGCACTTTTATTTCTTTTTAATAATATTCAGAAGGTAATAAGAAATCACATGCTGCATATTCCTGTATCCAAGAGCATCAGAGAGGGAAAATAAACCTTTTACGTATGTATTCTTTCCACAAGGATGTGATGTTGATCCAAAAAGAGGGAAAGTGTCTTTGCCTAGTGAACCTCATGGCAAAACCAAGCAGAATTCACAGATGCCTAGACAGGCATGACCATGATATATTGTGTCTCTTTGTATATAATCTGTGCCTGTGTTCCAAATCCCCTCTTCTGGAAAAATTACAAGCTCATTCCAGCAGAAATAATCAGTATGTGTATTTCAAACAGGCATTATGCAATCCACATAAACTGACATAGAAAGGGCATCTGTAACTGTTGACTAAGAATGGCATTGTAAGATCCTTGAAGGATCCATTGAAAGGATCCAGACTTTATTGGCTCCTAGAAAGTACCTTAATTTCCGTCTAAGTTGGAGGGAAGGGGCATAGTACTAGCTAGGAGATAGCTATAGCCTGACATTCTCCGTTTGGCTCAATGTAACAGAAAATTATGATTTCCAGAAGCTATCACTGAAAAGACACATTGCACATCTCCTTCTGCATTTTCTGACACGTTTTGTATTTTTAGTTTGAATTTACAAAGCGTAATACAGCTTCATTCAGTTTAATACAATGGCATAACCCAAATGTGGTACCTAAGGGCCACATGTGGTGCTGGAGATGGAGTCACAGTTTTCCACGAATGTATATTAGGTGATAAAATTCCTTCAGATTTCTACTAGAAGAAATAATCATAGAATCATAGAAGGGTTTGGGTTGGAAGGGACCTTAAAGACCATCTAGTTCCAGCCTCCCTGCCATGGGCAGGGATATCTTCCACTAGACCAGGTTGCTCAAAGCCTCATCCAGCCTGGCCTTGAACACTTCCAGGGATGGGGCATCCACAGTTTCTCTGGGCAACCTGTTCCAGTGCTTCACCACCCTCTCCAGGAAGAACTTCTTCCTGGTATCTAATCTAAACCTCCCCACTTTCAATTTAAACCCATTACCCCTTGTCCTGTCACTACAGGCTCTTGTAAAAAGTCCCCCCCCAGCTTCCTTGTCGGCCCCTTCAGGTACTGGAAAGCTGCAATAAAGTCTCACTTTTTTCCACATTATTTCCACCTATTAATTTTCACACACACTTTTAAGGAATCTTTAACATAATCTCAAAGAGAAAATTCTTGTGGTGGAATGTTTTTGTTGGCATTTTATTAGATCAGAATCAGATTGACTTCATAAATTAATTCTTTTTTCCATATTTTCACTACATTTCATTATCTGTATGTGTAAAGGGAAAGTTTTCTTTGCAGAAGTAAATGACATTTTTAGTGTTTAGTTTCTTGTGTGCATGGTATGTGGGGATGGGAAGCTTAGTGAAAGTTTGGAAACATATAATGACTTAATGTTATGTATGCTCTACGAAAATAAAAATACCCTGTTCATTTTCTTCAATTATACTAACCAATTTGGTTTCAGTCATCTGGGCAACATTATTATTATCTGAGTATTTTGGAACTAGTGAATATGGCATCTCTCTCATCACTTACCAGATCTGAGAAAACTTTGCCATCAAATCTGAATACCCATTTTAACATCTTTATATTTCATTATTTCCTAAGCAGCTAGAAGTTAATGGGTTTTTTTGCATTACTTGGTATGCTTTGGAGTTCATATTTAAACCTTAGCACTGTGTTGTTTTAAAAACGGTACTATAAAGGGTGTCAAGTCATTATGCTATTCAGTAGTTCTTACTGATGCCATGTATAACTCTTCTCATTGGCAGATATCAGCCCACCAGCACAAGGTGTGGATCACAGGCAAGTCCAGAAAGAACTGGGAGACGTCATTGTACGACTGCATAATCCTGTTGTGCTGACACCCACGACAGTTCAAGTCACTTGGACGGTAAGGCTTATGTTATTATTACCTTAAGAGTACTTTAATTTTGCCTATTTAACCCTGCATTTTTTTACTATTCTGAAAAGCTCCAATATTGACCCCAATGTAAGTGCTCTGATAAACTAAAGTTATACAGGCATATATATGTGGTAATGAAATGGACGTTCTATTTTCTCTTTCAAGTCAGGCAGGTTCAAAGCCTTCAGTGTTCAGCTTGAAGTGAGCTAGCTGTCTGACTAGAAAAATATTATAAAAATGAATATGCTTAACACCATAATCTAAAGCGTAATTGATCTGTGGACTCATTAGTGTGCATGTCAAAAAAATAATCAAAGTTAAATATCAACATGAAATTGCTATGTGAAAAAGAACTTTCCACTTCAAGGCATAGGAACCTCTGATAATCCTATTATTTAGTGACCCTAAAATGCAAAAATAACTTTCCTATAAGGCACTGGTAGTGAAGTCAGAAGCACGTGGTGCTGATGCCTGATCCACTGTGTAGCATCTGGTTTTCTAGCATAAGCCTTGCCCGCAATCAGTGGATGTCCTTTCATTATAGAAGACCAAAGTCTTTTTGGCAGTACTTAACAACATTTCTATTTGAGGGGTCAAACTACTGGGTAGAATTTCTGATATAGTGTTTGGCTTTCAAAATGCTATGTTTCCCTTCCTGAGGCTTGAAGGAAAGGATTTGTATCCATAGAGGGAGCATTCCTGGAGTGCTGCACACCAGAAAAGAGTGCTTTGCTTTTGGGGCATCTGCTCCAGAGGAAGGAGAACCACGGGTGGCATAGTGAGAGAAATAGTGCTGCGCTGCATGTCACTGAAACAGTTGTGTGAGATAGGATGAATTCTGGTAAAGAGGTATTCACATTGCTCAGGGTTTTTGTTCTGCATGTAATATTGCTAAGAGGTTAATGTGTACAGGGGATTATACAACAGAAGATAAGGAGAGTGGTGATAGATTGTGTATTATAAGGATTACTGTTGGTTCTGCAAAACTCAGCCATATTTACAAGGGCTTATGCACCATCCTTGATCTGATGGATTTCAATGGACAGGGAACAGATTAGAATAAAGAAAGAAACCCACGAAGTTGTCTGCCTTAGATTATTTAGAAAATATGTCATTGCATTTTTCCATTGATGATGTCAACACACAGCTTGCCTTTGTAAAAATGCTGTCTGTTTCAGCTACATAACTCCAGGACAGGCTGACTAACCTTTGTAGTAAACCCTTTTTCCCAGGCAGATGGGACAGCAATTTAGAAACTTCAGATGTTGGCAGCCAGTAATTGTAAGCCTGGATCACTTCTGGGTGGTGCTCCTTCAGTTAATTTCTTGGTGTGACAGCTGTCAGAAATACAGTTTCATGGGCTTGCCCTTCCTTTAACATACACTACAAAAGGAAGGCCCAATATAAAAAGAATTCAATTTAATGCAGTGTAACCAATGTCATTATATTATAATGAAATATATATGTATTTATCTGTGCGCATGTGTGTGTATATATATACACACACACATATATGGGGGGTGGGGTGGGTGTCTGTTTGTCTGTCTATCTAAATGAGTCTCTTGGTGCCCCTACTAAGCAAGTTATGAGTGAAGTAAACCTGGTAAGGTAGAGGTGAATTGTTAGGAATGCTATAGATATCAGCTTATTGGGAAGATCCTTCAAAGTGGTGACCCTGTGTCACCTGACAAGCATACAGGCTGCTGTAGAGACTTTTTGGAATTGCCCAGGGGAAGAAAGGCACAAAAAGAGATCTCTGGAACAGCTAATTAGAAACTTTGAAGCAACCAGAACAAAACCAATTAATTAACCATAGTCTCTGGGAAAAAAGCCACTGTATCCAGAGAATAAAGTCCACTCTATTAATATAAAATGGTTAGCTAGTGTAGCTATGCTACAGAAGGACAGAATTGCCATGAGAGTTGTAAGACTCTTTGTGTTGACTTTCTGCAATTCAAAGAGTGAATGCCAAGGAACATCCTTGATTACTGAGTGTCTGTCAGTGGCTCCCAGCAAATTAACACCAATTTCTCCCTTCTTTCAGATATTGTTTTGGGTTTCCTTTCTCTCTTTTTTTTTTTTTTCCCCTTTCCCAAATTTGAGTTTAAAATTTCAGAAACAGTTCTCTGCTACTGTATTACAATTTTAAAACATACACATACATATGCACACATTTTCTGTGTTATAAAAGGTCAGGCTTATAAAGTCAGTATTAAATAAAAGCAGAGAAATGTCAGAAGTTAAGCTTTCACTGTCACTTAAATTTATCCCTCTTGTGCATTACTATTAGAGTATACCTGTAATTATCTGGTCACATACAGGATCTCACATACAGGAGCTGTTCAACATTTCTTTTTATCTTCTTTATTCACTGTGTGGTGCCAGGTCTTATTAAATTCATACCACTGAAACCTTGCATTGAATAAAAAATTAGTAGTTTGTCTCACATGCTTTGCTTATCTGTCATGCTCTCAACCGTAACGTTTGGGTGCTTCACAAAAAATACTGAATTTAACATCGCAGCGAAAAATGTGTCATTATTCTAACTTTACACATAAAGAGGTGAGGTGTTCAGATGTTTATTGCTGATGAGACTGACGGAATCAGATATGCCCACTGTTACCAAATAGCTAATTTTAAACCTTGAGCCTGATTTATATTTCTTTTTATCAAAGCATTTTGCATTTCAACAGCATATTGTGTATTCCAAGCACTTTTTTAGCTGACATCAACTATAGTGCAGCACTTCTAGCCTCACTGGGCATTAAACAGAGAGCTTAATGGCCAAATATGAAAGGTTTCCTAGCACAGGAGCTTTAGGGCACAAGCAGGAAAAAAATGCAACTCTTTAATATGGCAAAAGAATTGTTGCTTTGAAATCCTCACTGCCTTATAGAAGGCTACCAGGCAGAAGGATAATTTATTTACCTCTCTTTTTATTTGACATTGATTTTAAGTAAATGTACTTTTCTGGAATCTTCAAGAGTCACGGCCTTTAGGCAATATTCCAGTGTATCGTCACCCTTTGTCTTGCTCCTGTAGGATAGATAAATATACTACTGCTGTTCGTATTTCCAGAGATTACTGTGAGTCTGTACTTGTAAGCTCAGCACAGTATGCAAGGTATTCTACCCAGATGGAGAATTGCTGTGGGTACTGATTTGGGAGTAGAGTATTACTTAAGATATTTATGTGTAGAAATTTACATACAAAAGAGCATATTGCTAAATGTCTTCAGTGTATAGATTAGCAGGTTTGCCTGAAAGGAGCTTGTATTTGCAGCAGAAGCTGCATTACCAGTTTCTTGCCATCTTTTTAACAACCTAATAGCCTAACCGAATGCTCCAATAGCCACTGAACCTGACTTCTGTTGAGCTGTGGGATGTGCAGATTAGAACATGCAGGGAAAATGAGTTTCCTGTTCTGCAAAAATGGAGAGCTCTCGTCAGTTTTGTAGATACCTCCTGCTTGTAAAAGAGTGTGAGAAGGAGCATGCAGGATCACTTTTCCTTGTAGGTCACCTTAAAGCAGTAGGTCAGTGCTGAGCAGAACCTACCTAGTAATTGCTCTCTTCTGTCTTTTGAAGGAGCATCTGCATTTTCTGCTATCTGTCTTTTGAGGGAAAAAGTGTATCTTTAGATCAGCAACTGTTGTAGCTCTTTTCAGTGGATGTCACTGCTGCTTGTACAGATTCAAGAGCAGTTAAGAGTGTCACAGGAAGACTAGAAATATTCTTTGGTCCCAGTATTCGGTGTGGAGAGTTCCTGCAAGCTCTGTATTAATGCTAAGTACTTTTTATGAGGAAGTGGCAACCATTTACCAAAAAAAAAAAAAAAAAGACAAAAGGAGAATACCTAGAAATTATTACATTCTTTCATCAAATCACAGTATATGTTTCTACAACTCTGCATGTGAATATGTACCAAAACTATAGAGTTATTTGTTGCTTAGCACAGCTGAACGCAGTTCTTCAATGCTAAGCATCTGTTTAGTGGCATGACACGTAATAAACAGAAGAAACAATGAAATCACAGGCTTCATATATAAGACTGTGTGCGCATGTATATGTGGGCATATACACATAGGTATGTACATATGTATACATATATGTGTGTGCATGTATATGTGAAATCTACTTGTCCTATACCTCACAAATATCTCTGGTTCATCCATGTAATTATCCAAGAGTAATTTTTTTATTAATCAGAAAACTCCAAACAAAACAAAAATTGCACCTTTCTCAATAAGTGAAGGGCCCTCTGAGTAGTTTCCCAACATTATGACCATATGAGAGGCCCTGTTCATTCAGACTAGCTTTAAGTGGGCGTGAGAGATCCTCTCCTCTATACTGAATGCAATATCATATTTATAGAAAACATTTAAAATACGTAGTATTTTATTTTGAAAGTACCCTCCCAGACCCTGAACAATAGAATTGCTGTCAATAATCTGAAATTTGGACAGATCACTCAGCCCTTTTGTGATCAAACTTCTAACTGAAAGCTCTGTGAAACTTGTATGTTCCCAAATGAAGCTGGTTTATAGCACCCATATGCGTGACAACTTTGTTGTACTACTGCGTCATGCTTTCATATTTCTTGTTAGGTCAGGAACTTAAAAATCTAGGAAGAAAAGAGGTGTATGAATAATTTGTATCTTACCAATATGTAAGTAGATACAAAGGTGTGATACACTCAAAATTAGTATCCTATAGGTATACAATAGGAGCCCAGTTCTTTGTGAGTTGGTGGCTGCTTTGTGTTTGTACTGTGCCAGAGAAAGCAGTTTCCATACTTTTTCGTAGCAGCATGCTGTTATAGTTCAGCCTAGTCAATTCTGAATTTTCAGATGTTCTCCACTAGGCAGCACTCAGTAGAGCTTAAAAGCACACCAAGGTCGAAACAGAAAGTTCTAACAAAGTTATGCTGTCTTTCAGCATACCTTGTAACTCAGAAGTTACGCAGGAATCAAGCTCGCTATTTGATTATTAACCATCATAGCCTTATATTGTAGTTTAGGTTGAGAATCTGTATTACAGAGTGCATGAAAGCGTTATTCTTGCTGAATTTTGTAGTAAACGTGAGGTTCATAAAGTCCTTATTCCGTAAAACATTTAATTAATGAAAGTCAAACATGGATAAAAACAATTTACTCTGATTTACAGACTCCCTTCATCTGGAAACAGCTGCTTAATGTTCTTCTTAAAAACACAGCTTGATTCTTTCGGTATTAACAAGCTATTATTGTGAGTTATATCCCTCTTTCAGTGCATAAATTCACTTAAAGTGAATGTAGAGAAGTTTATAAAATGCAAGCTTAATGTTGTTGTAACATATGTTGCAAGGTTTTTAACAGTGACAGTTTTGATGAAAGACATTTCTGCTTTGCTCCCATAAATAAAGCTTTCTTCTTGCTTGCCTTGCTTTTTAAAGTCTTAAGAATCTGTGTCCCCTCTGAATGCCTCAATAAACTGTAACTAGATTGTAGGAGAAGCATAAGAGATGCTGGTTTGTGTTTTCAGCCTTAAATTTATTTATTCTTAAGAGAAGTCAAACAAATGTAGATCTAATTTTGAAATAGAGAGCAAATTGTCAAGAACAGAAAAGAAATCCTACTTTTTAATCTCAGTTATAACCAAGAAATTTACTGAACAGCTAGTCTTGCTATTTGTGCTGCAGTGTCTGTGGCTCTATTTCATGGCTACAGAAGCAGCTGGGTTTGATTTGGTTTTATCCATCAAATTGTTTTGACTGCTTTTTTCAGGAAAAATTAATGCAAACATCATAACAGCTCAAATCATTGTTCCATGCTCTTTTTATCCTCAAGAGAAAAAAATGCATGCAACCTCTCCAAGATAAAACACATTTTTCCTTCAAATAAAAATCCTATTAATAGCTGCAGTAGGTTAGAACTGTTAAACTTCTTTGTATGGTCCAATCTTGAATTGTGCTTGCCTAGCAACATATAAAATATAAACCAAAAACCACCATTCCATCTCCATCTGATGGCCTGAGAGCATTACAACCTCAGGATGCAAAGAGGCTGCTTAGACTGAGAACTCAAGAAACAGCACATGTCCTTGGAAGTTGTTTTCTCTGTATCTGTCTTATGTTTATTTTACTTTCCTGAGCATCTCATGAAAAGATGAGCTGTGAGCCAAGTAATGGACTAACTGAAAGCATGTAGGGTGTCTTCAAAGACTTGTCCTTTTCTGAAAAGAGTTTGTTTTTCTTTTCTTCTCTTATTCCAGCACATCAGTAGCCAAGATGTGCTTAATAAGTTTACATGCAGTAAGCATTATGCCAAAGTTCTCTTTTCATGATTTGTTGCAGGAGTGGGGCTTTGGTTTATGATTTAAGGTGGTATTAGTCATGATATATAGAGCTGGAGAAAGTAAAATGGAAAGAAATGTTCTGTAACAAGTAGTGTGAGAAACAAGTTCTTCGTAGACAACGCTGACTTACAGTAAGGCAGTTTGATTTTTAAATACAGTAGCTTCAACAGCTGTTAATTTTCTCCTCTTTCATGAGGACAAAAGTATTTGAGGCAAATGTTTTGCTTTCTTTTTATACAGTTTTGTTACTTTAATGTGTTTATTGATGTATTATTTAATGTCGTTTCTAGGTTGACCGCCAATCCCAGTTTATTCAGGGCTACAGAGTAATGTACCGCCAAACATCTGGCTTGCCTTCTCCAGCTGTATGGCAAAATTTGGAGGTCAAAGTCCCAACTGAGCGCAGCGCTGTCCTTGTCAGCTTGAAAAAGGGAGCCACTTATGAAATTAAAGTTCGACCTTACTTCAATGAATTCCAAGGAATGGACAGTGAATCAAAGTCTGCTCGTACCACAGAGGAAGGTTAGTAAAATGGTCAGAAAAGCAAGAGGATTCCATACTTGGCACTGGAGGTGAATCAAGAGTGACCATTTTGGTTGTGGCGTGTATGCATATGTTCAGCTCTATTTCTTCCACATCATTTCTGTTTATTCTGGTTGGTATTAGAATTCAGTATATTCAGTTCTGTGCTGTATGTATTCCATGAGAAAGCACTGGGGCAGTACTATGTTCTTCCGGCTGATACATCCTTCTAATGTACAGGTGGCTTTGAGTCTTCCACAAGGCGAGCACTGCAGCCATTCTTTTATAACCACTGTTGCTGCAATAGAAGACTTTGGTCTGCATTTCGAAAATAAAACTGATAAATGAAACCTTTTACAGATGAGTGTTTGATATTAAGCACATCTTTCTGACTGGGTAGTAGTAATGTGGATGAACGGTTTGATTGGGAAATGGAGACTAGTGAAGGACAGATATTTAAGTAGCCTAAAGGAACTCCAGTCTCAAGGGAGTTCCCTCACTTTATCGTTTCTGTTAGCACACCATTCATGAACCTGCCCTATGTAGTCCTTGAGGGGATTTCCTTAAGTACCTTTCAAGCTGCTGTGAAACATGCAGGATGCAGACATTGTAACTAGTTTACACTACTGAAATGCACAAGCATTTATATCTATAGCATGTAGTGTGGTATATAGTTCTGCTAAAACATGTACTCCAGGACTGCTTTTTTATTGAAAAGTAAAGGGAGTGAGGGTGAGATATAAATAATTTTTATCTTTTTCTCTCAGAAACGTGCAACAAACTTAACTTTCTGCCTATCTAATGCAACCTTTGCCTGGAGAATCTCTCCTGTAGAAGTAAAAAGATGATCATAACAATGAGGGTTCATCTTCTGTTTCATTGATTTCTTTCAGAGCAAGGGAAAGAAATACTGGTAAAGTTTCAAAATGCTCATATGGTTTTAGTGGGTTTTGAGTGCACTC